TCTCATGGATTCACAGCAGTGATTAGTTGATGGCTCGAGGGCTTTCTGAAGCCATGAATGCAGGTCATACTGTTGGTCTGCAGAATCACAAAGAACACTTGCTGGGTGGCATGAAAATATGAGGAAATTCCACTATTTCTGTAACAGTTTTCCTTTCCTTTTATTTCTTTTTTATTCTTTTTGAACTTATTTTCAGTTTTCCTTTTCTTGATTTTAGGTTTTTTTTTTTTTTTCTTTTTCTGAGACAGAGTGAGTCTTGCTCTGTGGCCCAGGCTGGAGTGCAGTGGCACAATCTCAGCTCACTGCAACCTCCGCCTTCCATGTTCAGGCAATTCTCCTGCCTCAGCCTCCCGAGCAGCTGTGATTACAGGCATGCACCACCATGTCCAGCTAATTTTTTGTATTTTTAATAGAGATGGGGTTTCGCCATATTGGCCAGTCTGATCTCAAACTGCTGACCTTGTGATCCACCCACCTCGGCCTCGCGAAGTCCTGGGATTACAGGCGTGAGCCACCGCTCTCAGCCTGATTTTAGTTTTGTGCTAAGTGTCAGTGATACATATTATGAACATCCACTAACATTTAAGCAGCATTTTATATTTTAGAAAGAGATTTTATGTACATCATTCTATTGATCCCCACCCAGCATTCTACTGACCCTTAGTCCTATGAGCAGAGAGGAGCCTAAGTGATTATATGGACTCCCAATTTAGAGATGAAAAGCTTTACATGAAGTTTGTAATACTCCTTGCTCAGTGTGTGTCCCCAGGATTTGGCACAAAGATGGGTACATAGCAGATGTAGAATAAAAATTTGCTAAGTGGCAAAATAAATGCAGCTCACAGAGAAACTATGTGACTTGGCCATGGGCACACATGACTAATTGATGGAGACAGTGCTCAGATTTAGGATTTAGGATTTTTTTTTTTTTTTTTTTTTGAGGTGGAGTCTCACTTTGTCTTACTTAGGCTGGAGTGCAATTGCATGATCTCAGCTCCCTGCAGCCTCTTCCTCCATAGTTCAAGCGATTCTCCTGTCTCTGCCTCCTGAGTAGCTGGGACTACAGGTGTGTGCCACCACACCTGGTTAATTTTGTATTTTTAGTAGAGATGGGGTTTCACTATGTTGGCCAGGCTGGTCTCAAACTCCTGACCTCAGGTGATCCACCTGCCTGGGCCTCCCAAGTGCTGGAATTACAGGCCTGTGAGCCACCATGCCTGGCAGATTTGGGATTTTTTGACTCCAAGTCCCACACAGCTTTCTAATGCTTATGCTGCAAAGAAGACAACTGAAGTAGTTTATAGTGATGCTAAGAGTTAAAGAAATACGTTTGAAATCTTTTTTTTTTTTTTTTTTTTTTTTTTTTTTTTTTTTGAGACGGAGTTTCGCTCTTGTTACCCAGGCTGGAGTGCAATGGCGCGATCTTGGCTCACCGCAACCTCCGCCTCCTGGGCTCAGGCAATTCTCCTGCCTCAGCCTCCTGAGTAGCTGGGATTACAGGCATGCGCCACCATGCCCAGCTAGTTTTTTGTATTTTTTTAGTAGAGACGGGGTTTCACCACGTTGACCAGGATGGTCTCGATCTCTCAACCTCGTGATCCACCCGCCTCGGCCTCCCAAAGTGCTGGGATTACAGGCTTGAGCCACCGCGCCCAGCCAATACGTTTGAAATCTTAACAAGCAGATTTCTTAAGTTGGATGAGGAATTATTTTCAGCTAAAATTGAGTTGTATAGTTTTTATGTGTTCAAGGGAAATTTTTTTAAAAATATGCAAAATTGGAGAGGATATCTTGAGGGTCATGCCATTTTGGAATTTAGAGTAAATCATTAAATTTCAGGGTTTTTAGAAATAAAAGAACCTGAACATTTGGAGACAAGGCAGGTGAAATTAACTAAAATGGTATGCTCCATGAGGGCAGGGCCTATGTGTATCTGTTTACTACTCCATGCCCAGTGCCTGGCACAGTGCCCAATGGACAGTGAAGTAGGAGTTCAAGTAATATTTGTTGGCTGGGTGAGGTAAAAAAAAAACTAGGGTTTTTTGTTTGTTTGTTTGTTTTTTGAGACAGAGCCTTGCTCTGGCGCTCAGGCTGGAGTATGATGGAGTGATCTCGGCTCACTGCAACCTCCACCTCCTGGGTTCAAGTGATTCTCCTGCCTCAGCCTCATGAGTAGCTGAGATTATAGGCACTGGCCACCACACCCGGCTAATTTTTATATTTTCAGTAGAGACGGAGTTTTGCCGTGTTGGCCAGGCTGATCTTGAACTCCTGACTTCAGGTGATCCACCTGCCTTGGCTTCCCAAAGTGCTGGGATTACAGGCATGAGCCACCATGCCTGGCCTTTATTTTTATTTTTAAGAGACCAGAGTCTTGCTCTGTTGCCCAGATTGGAGTGCAGTAGAATGATTGTACCTCACTCTAGCCTAAAACTCCTAGATTCAAGTGATCCTTTCACCTCAGCCACCCAAGTAGCTAGGACTACCGGCACATGCCACCATGCTTGGCTAATTTTTGTATTTTTTTTTTCTTTTTTTATATATAGAGAGTCTCACTATGTTGCCCTGGCTGGTTTCGAACTTTTGTCCTAAAGCAATCCTCCTGCCTTGGCCTCCCAAAGTGCTGAGATTACAGGTGTCAGCCACCGTGACCAGCCAGTGAATACACTTTTTACTTAAACTGTGAGAGTCTCTTATGTGCCAGACCCTATGCTAGCCCTTGATGGCAGTATGAAAACCATTGGAATCTTGTCCACAAGAAGCTCACAGCATGAGATTCCAGACAGCTACAGCCAGAGATAGAAATGTGGACAATTACAACCCAGCATGAGAATTTCTGCAGTAGAGGGATGGTGCAAAGGGCAGTGGAAGCTCGGATAGAATGACAGACTGCCTGGGAGAGTGAGATGGCCAAGACTTCCTCCAGCAGGTGACAGCTGAGCCGGGTTTGAAGTTTGGAGGTGTGTTTACTAGGAGTGCAGTGCAGGAGGGGAGGAACACCAAGCAGAGACAGGAGGAGGTAGAAAGACTTGAAGGTGTGAAATAGCCTGGCATGTTTAGGAAAATTCAAATAGTCCTGCCTGCCGTCCAGTGGTTTTCGATGTTTCTGCTTGCCTGTTCCTATCTGTAAAAATATTTTAAGCGTAGATTTTCCCCCAATATGGGCTTTTTTTTTTTTTTTTTTCTTTTTGAGACAGTCTTGCTTTGTTGCCCAGAATGAAGTGCAGTGGTATAATCTCGGCTCACTGCAACCTCTGCCTCCCAGGTTCAAGCCATTCTCCGTATGTCTCAACCTCCTGAGTAGATGGCACTACAGGCACTTGTCACCACGCCCAGCTAATTTTTTTTTTTTTTTTTTTTTTTAATAGAGACAGGGTTTCACCATGTTGGCCAAGATGGTCTAGATTTCCTGACCTTGTGATCTGCCCGCCTCGGCCTCCCAAAGTGCTGGGATTACAGGCGTGAGCCACCACACCCGGCCTCAACAGGCCACTCTTAAGACTCAAAGCCCTGTGAGAGGGGCCAGTCTGTCAATTTCACTGCTGTACACACCTTGTCTAGACAGTGTCTAGCATTACTAGGCACCCAATAAATATGGATTGTTGGACTGAGTTTGATTTTCCCTATTGCTGGACCATAAGCCTAAAGTGATGGCTGGTGAAAAATGTTTATAGACTTTACTGAAGGAAGGCCTTCATAGCATTTCCCAGAGTTCTGCACAGGACACCAGAGCTTTGATTTTGGAACTCTAGCTCTCACTGTTTATCTTAGGGTAGTCAAGACCCTCACATAATTTCCCTGTGTCTTCTGAGGACATTCACGTTGTTCATCAGGGCCAATCGTATTCCTGTGCATTACATGGTGCCTGTGCCGAGTGATTAATAAAAGGGATATTGTGACTTTCTTGGCAGGGATGAAAGGGCTATCAACATGGTAAATAGCCCTTGTATAAGCAGGCGAAGAGAATGAGGCTATTCTTCCTCCCACCGTGGCTCTCACTGGTGATGATAACAACACCAAAAGCATATTTTTCTGTTTGACTTTTGAATCCAGAGGTCTATGATGTGGCAGCAACAAAACCGTTTTTTTCACCTGGCAACAAAACTTAAGATCTGGCCCATTACACTACCTTCCTACTAATGGATGGGTTGGAACAAGGTTGAAGGGTCATGTTTTGTGTGAAGTGCAATTAACATTTTATTATGGACTAGTTTGAGGTTTTAAAGAAATATATAGGGCACAGATTTCTTCACCAAATTTCAAAGAAACCTAGATATAGCCTTAAAAAATATATTTTCTTCCCAGAATGATTTTTAATTAATTGATTTATTTATTTTATTATTTATTTATTTTTTTATAGAGATGGGGTTTCACCATCTTGGCCAGGCTGGTCTTGAACTCCTGACCTTGTGATCCACCCATCTCAGCCTCCCAGAGTGCTGGGATTATAGGCGTGAGCCACCGTGCCCGGCCCCTAGAATGATTTTTTAGAGACAGATGCCTACTGATAATATTTTATGTTTAGGCCAGGCGCGGTGGCTCAAGCCTGTAATCCCAGCACTTTGGGAGGCCGAGGCGGGTGGATCACAAGGTCAAGAGATCGAGACCATCCTGGTCAACATAGTGAAACCCCATCTCTACTAAAAATACAAAAAATTAGCTGGGCATGGTGGCACGTGCCTGTAATCCTAGCTACTCAGGAGGCTGAGGCAGGAGAATGGCCTGAACCCAGGAGGCGGAGGTTGCGGTGAGCTGAGATCGCGCCATTGCACTCCAGCCTGGGTAACAAGAGCGAAACTCCGTCTCAAAAAAAAAAAAAAAAAAAAAAAAAAAAATTTATGTTTAGTTAATCAGCCTATAAATATTTATCGAGGGTCTGTGGGACCAGCTTTTGCTTGTACTAAACAAAATATCAAGAAATAGACAACATGATTCCTACCCTTAAGGAGATGACTTTTTTTTTTAATTTTAATTTTCTTTTTCTTTTTCTTTTTTTCTCAGCTCAGATGGGTAATGTGCCAGTGTCATAACAAGGTTCAAGTTTGGCACATCTCACACAAGAGTGTGAACACCCGATCATCATGCTCATGAACTACAAAAAGACCTAGGGAGATTACTTTTTAAGTAGATAAAGAAAATAAGGGCTGGTGTGGTGGACTTTGGGAGATACACAAAGGTAGATCACTTGAGGGTTGGGAGTTCAAGACCAGCCTGGCCAACATGGTGAAACCCCATCTCTACTAAAAATTAGCTGGGCATGGTGGCACACACCTGTAATCCCAGCTATGTGGGAGGCTGAGGCAGGAGAATCACTTGAAGGTTGCAGTGAACCAAGATCATGCCACTGCCCTCCAGCCTGGGCAACAGAGCAAGACTCTGCCTCAAAAAAAAAGGAGAGAAAAGGAAAATAGTCCATGAATCAATGGAGGGCAATTGAGATACTGTGCTATAGTATAAAATGTATTTAGTCCCTGGTTCCTCACAAAGCTTAAATTCTCAGAATATCCCAAGCAATGAGTATCTATTGTTATGATAAGCCCTTATTAGCACAACTGACTTTATGTTAATAAAGTGACTTAGGGTGGGACCCCTAGCTAGTCTCAGGATAGGACTGGTCTTGAAAGACCAAGTGGTTAGAAGATTAGACGGCTGGAACTTTCAACCCCACCCACCAACCACCAGGAAAGTGGAGGCCAAAGGAGGCTCGATATCAAGCTCTAGCAAAGACTCTTGAACAATGAGATTTGAAGAGTTTCTGGTTTGCTGACATGGGAGGGTGGTGCTGGGAGGGTGGCTGGCCAAGAGAGGGCATGGAAGCTCTGTGTCCCCCCTTCTGTACCTTGCCCTATCATCTCCGTCTGGCATTCATCCCTATCCCCTCTAATACACTGGATTAAAAAACAGTAAATGGGTGGGGCACCGTGGCTCACTGTAACCCCAGTGCTTCAGGAGACCCAGGCAGAAGGATGGCTTGAGGCCAGGACTTCGAGACCAGTTTGGGCAACATAGCAAGACCCTGGTAGCACAAAATAAATGAAAAAAACCATTTTTTTTAACCCAATAAATGTAAGTAAGTGTTTCCATGACTTCTGTGAGCCTTCCTAACAAATTAATTGACCTTGTGGAGGAGATGATGGGAACTTTGATTTAAAGCCACTTAGTTAGAAGTATAGGTGACTGCCCTCTACTTGCAATTGGTATCTGGAGTGGGGACAGTCTTGTGGTACAAGTGTAGCTGGGACTACAGGTATGTGCCCCCACACCTGTCTAATTTTTGTATTTTTAGTGGCGATGGGGTTTTGCTATGTTGTCCAGGCTGGTTGCAGTTCTTTTCTTAAAACAAAGAAACTGAAGACTTGAGTTGCTATTGAATCAAGCTGCTTTTCCCTGAACTTCCCTTGTGTAATCAGTGGGAAAATTACAAGTCTGATAAGTGGGGACTGATTTTCTGGACATTTTACATTTCATTGGAAAAATAAATCAGAGTTATCAGATTCCTCCAGAGCAAATGTAACTGTGATATAAATCAGAGTCACCAAGGAACAGAGCCCTGGGCTAAAATAGATGCCAGGGTCTCATTTAAAAACCATGACAGACATCCCACCTATTCTCAGAACACAAGTATCATTTACTTCTTGGGGCCTGGAGTGAGAGTTTGTCGGTATTGGCTTTGCTTCCTGGCATCTCACATAATAACAAATGCTGGGATGGAAAGATATCGGACACAGGTGCAATAGCATGATTATGTTAAATTGAGAAAAGACTTTCAAAGGCTCTCTACAGTCTTAATGATTTCCAGAGGGTCCTCTTTCAGCTTCCCTACGTTGCCTCTGGTAGCCTAATTAATAGAGTGTGACTTTGTAGTTCTTGCCAAGTGCCAACCCAGCTCAAATGACAACTGTCAGGAGAATGTGGCAGATAACTGAAGAAACCTTTAGTTACCTAGCTATCTTTAGAAGACACTGTCTTTGGCTTAATGAGTGCTGTATTTTATAAGTAGCCACAGGTGTTTGGAACCCTGTCAGCACTCTTGGGGCTCTAAATAGTGTTTGGTAAAGTTTTCAGCCTTTATATAGGCATCAGCAGGGTTTGAATATCTGCCCAATATCAGAGCAAAGTAGAAAGTTACAGAGAGAAAACAGAGCCTCCAGGGTGGCATGAAGGATGTAAACATGAAAAATAACACTGCAGACAAAACCTTTAATGTAACCAATTGCAAACCATGCAGAAATATTCATAAGGCTGAATATACTCTTACAGGTGTGAGTCTTGATGAGTGAAAAATCTTAGGTTCTAGGCTCTATATGTGGCCTTGCCACTTACACGCTATTAATAACCAATTCCAATCACCAGATGTGAACTTTCTTCTCATCTATAGACAGAGGTTAATCATCTCTTAACTACATCACATGCTTGTTTGCCAAATCAAGTTTTTGCAAGTGAGATGCAGTATCTGGAAGTGACTTATAAGCCATAATGTGCTAAGCACATGAAATGTGGATTTATTTATTATTTATTTATGTATTTTTGAGATCGATTATCGCTCTGTCACCCAGGCCGGAGTGCAGTGGAGCAATCTTGGCTCACTGCAACCTCCGCCTCCCGGGTTCAAGCAATTCTCCTGCCTCAGCCTCCTGAGTAGCTGAGATTACAGGTGTGCAGCACCATGCCTGGCTAGTTTTTGTAATTTTTAGTAGAGATGGGGTTTCACCATGTTGCTTAGGCTAGTCTCGAACTCCCGACCTCAGGTGATTCTCGCCTGCCTTGGCCTCTCAAAGTGCTGGGATTACAGGCATGAGCCACTACATCTGGCCTCAAAAATGTGGATTTATTATTATGTAGAGCCTCATTAGGTATCAGATATATAGAACACTGGATAATCTGGAGTTACCGCCTAAAGTCTCACACCTGGCATAAATGTCCACTTGGCTGTTGATAATGGCATTGATGCCTCTTGTATTCTTTTCCTATCCTCAAACTGACCTGTGGATCCAAATAAAGGTGTATCTAGATATATGAAATTGTATCTACCAAAGCCTTGTCAAATACAGGCATATACCAAGAATATTCAGGGGCTACACTGGGAAACAAGTGGTCTGAAAATTTGACTCTGAGTGTACAGAACACCTGCAAGAATCAGAGCAACTATGTTAAGAAAGGGAAAATGCAAACCTGGCCTAAGCCAATATACAGATTACCAGAAGGTGCTTTTCACTGGCTGTATCTTCCACCAGACATAGAAAATAAGATTTTCCTGAGGGTGGTATCAGATATGTGAAATAGCATTTTATTATGCAGACCTGAGAAACATTTTTGTTTTCTACATAGTCATTAGTGAAATATAAATTTTTAGGTTTTTTGAATCTTTTTCCAGGCTTCATTTTTTTTTTTTTTTTTTTTTTAAGACAGAGCCTTGCTCTGTCACCCAGGCTGGAGTGCAATGGCACTGAGATTACAGGCATGAGCCACTGCACCCCGCTGTGATTTCTTTTTATGTCTAACAGAATGTGCGTTAAAGTGAAGCCTGGAGGCCGGGTGTGGTGGTTCACGCCTGTAATCTCAGCACTTTGGGAGGCCAAGGCAGACAGATCACTTGAGGCTAGGAGCTGGAGACCAGCCTGGCCATCACGGTGAAATCCCGTCTCTAGGAAAAATATAAAACTTAGTCAGGCATGGTGGTGGGCACCTGTAATCTCAGCTACTTGGGAGGCTAAGGCAGGAGAATTGCTTGAACCCAGGAGGTGGAGGTTGCAGTGAGCCAAGTTCCCACCATTGCACTCCAGCCTGGTCAACAAGAGCAAAACTGCATCTCAAAAGAAAAGAAAGAAATCACAGAACCAAGTGTATTTGATGTCTGCACTGAGTACCACAGATGATCTAAACAGTTGGCTACATGAGTTAATGATGGTTAAGGGATAGTTAACCCCCAAAATGGTTAATGTGGTGTGGTTTGGGATCATTTGTGACTTTTTTGTTTGCTAGTGGGGTGTGTGTGTGTGTGTGTGTGGTGTGTGCATGTGCGTGTGTTTCCGTCACTGCATCTGAGATTCTCAGTATTCAGCATTTTTGGTGTGTGCCGTTTTATCTTTTCAACACAGCAGAGCTGCCTCTGTCCATTGCCTCATAGGAGTTTCGTGAACATGAGTACCTTCAGTGCTGGCTCCTTATCTTTGGGACTGAGCAGATACAGTGGCCTTCTATCAATTTTCCTGCTAGCTAATGCCCTGACTTCTTTGCTCAGCTGTCCATTGTCTCCTGGAGCGCCCTGTGCACCAGCCTGAGCTAAACCTATTGAGAGCTGGCTGGATCCTGACAGCAGACAGAGCTTAGGCCACAGCCCAGCACCCTGCTGTGTACACATTCTGTGAAGAGTAACATGTCTCTTCCTGAAGGAAGGGTTATGTAACATTTCTTATCCAGTGGAACTAAACACACAGACGGGTAGTCCAGATACTTCATATTAATAGAAAGGTGATGGCAGAAATATTCTGAAGTCCTTCTGTTCTACAGAGATGAGTATACAGCTGTCAAAGGACCCAACATTAGAGGTTGAAGGTTTGCATTCCATACTGCATTATGATTTCTTTCTGTCCAGCCTGAAACAAAGATGAAATCCAAACATTTATACTCACTGAGTGTCATTTACCGTAAGCCCCGTCCCACATACTTGGGAAATTTGAAAGAATGAGATAGTTTTTTACTCATCTAATTTGTAGTATAGTTGAAGAGAATTAATGCAAATAAGAGTAAAGTAATACAAAATGCTATATAGGTAAACATCAGCATTTTAGAAAGTAGACCATATCTGTCTACTTTCTTTTTCTTTTTCTTTTTCTTTTTTTTTTTGAGACGGAGTTTCGCTCTTGTTACCCAGGCTGGAGTGTGCAATGGCACGATCTCGGCTCACCGCAACCTCCGCCTCCTGGGTTCAGGCAATTCTCCTGCCTCAGCCTCCTGAGTTGCTGGGATTACAGGCACGTGCCACCATGCTCAGCTAATTTTTTGTATTTTTAGTAGAGACGGGGTTTCACCATGTTGACCAAGATGGTCTCGATCTCTTGACCTCGTGATCCACCCGCCTCGGCCTCCCAAAGTGCTGGGATT